AGTAGAAGGATGCTCAATGCTGACAAATTGGAAGCCCAATATACTAAAGATGTCAGTTTTCCCAGATTGACTTGTAGATTCAATGTGATCTTAGAATAAAATGGGAGGACTCTCTGTGTTTAGACTAAGATACCATAATTAAAACTGTGAAATATTGTTTCAAGGCTAGACATAGAGACAAATGGAATAGAGAGCTCTGAAACATAAACACACACCTATATATGTCTGCCACTTATGGCAAAATGGTGGAGAGAAGACAATCTAAAACCCTCATTACTTTTCTAATATATACATTGTATAGATCAATGTACATGTGAAAAAACATAAACCTTGTGGTCAACATAAAACTTTAAAAATCTACACTAGTATTTTGTACTAGAAAGATTAAAGGTATGTTTATGAATGTTTATATGTTTGTGAATGTTTATAAACAAGCCACAAACATTTATCTATGAAAGTATCAAAAGTATGTATTTTGAACCATGAAAAAAATACTGTGACATGCAGACAAAAAGGACTCTGAATAAAGTTATCTGTCATGGTCTATTTGTATTTCATACATCTGCTTTTCGTGAAGCTCTGAATCTGTTCCTGGACTCATGCATCAAAGTTTGCTACAGGAGCAGAAGATCCACGGTATTCTGTAGTGTTCTCTTTTGGAAGGCTCCAGCTCTATTAATAGCACAAAGGATCACACTGTAATATAGAAAGTCGACAATGTCTACATCTCTGAAATTTAATTATTAAAACCCATCCTATTTGTTAGAAGCTGATTCATAAAAGAAAAAAGATATCTAAATTTCCCTTTTCTTGATAGTATGCTGCTCTCTTTTACCTAAATGTATCCAGGGAAATACAATGTTGGTAGTAAAATTTTCTGGGAGTCAGGATAGGATTTATGTAGCTCTTTTTTTGTCCTTGTTTATATATTTATTCCCTTTTTATTGTATCCTCTTAAAAACATTCTTAGACCTGCATCTGTACTAATTTAGGTTTATAGAACTATTCAATTTTTGTATTCATTGATGTCTTGTAGAATTCTTTGGTAGTTTTGATAGAGCCCTTATGTTTTGTGACTTCAAGATATTCTGAAGTCATATGTATTGTGTTCCATCTTTTGTAATTAGCCCTTTGTTCAGTATCCTTCTCTCATTTTTCTGTTTTGTAATCTTTCTCTGTCATAAACATTAAAACTTTTTAAATTCTCAAAAAAAAATTTCCCTTTTCTTGAACAAAAGTTTCCATTCATCAGTTATCATCAATTAAGCATTGTAAAAATAATAGGGTTTGTATGTGTAGCAAAAATATCACTTCATTTCTTTCCATGCTGTGGGTCACAAAGTGTCACCTGTTGAGCATCATTGCATTATCTCTGGAAAAATGTATTCAAATGTTGTTGTAATGCAAACATCACTTGTGGAAACAAACTGCACAACTTTGGCAAAGTATGGGCTGCAGTCCTTCCATGCAAACAAGATTTAGAGAGCAAACACATTAGTATTCAGAGAGAGAAATGATAAATTGGGAAAATGGATAGGTAAAAAAGTCTGAATAAAGGTATTATGTGGGTATTCTTGAACTATTTTTGTAAGCTTTGGCAAGATTTAATTATTTCTAAATAAAAAGATTTTTTTAAACTGAAAACATATGTATAGTACATCAGTTTTCTTAAATTTATGTTATTGGAAGGAGATAGACATGATATATAACTACACACACACATGCATAGGCTTGAATGCCCCAAAACATTAAATAGCTGTTTCTGAGCAGATGGAATTTTAGATATTTTCATGCATTACCTTTTTTGCTTCTTAAATTTTCTTTCACAGTCATTTCTTTTCACATTAAGAAGATAATTTTAATTAAAAATTTTCTCAAAGCATTATTTAAAGTAGTCAAAATGGAAATAATCTAAATATCCAATGGGAAAATGATTAAATAAGTGGAAAACAAGTAGTAATAAAATTAAGCAATGAAAAATATATTTGATCTCATTTTAAAGGTTAATTAAGCAATAAAATGGTACTTATTATCTTAAATAATCATCTTGATTCAGTATTCAGAATTCAAGTAGCATTATATAATAAAAAATTTTACCTAGCTGAAACTGCAATTAGTTAAAAATAATAAGAACATATAACTTACATCTTTTTAAATACACATCAAGAGAAAAGATGCATGGAAGGAAGCATCAACTTTTTAATCACAGTTTTTAATGTTCTCTAATAAAATTAATAAAGAAAGAGCAAGCAGCAGTTACTTAGCCTGGTCCCCTTAGCTTTCATTAATGAGTATAACAAAGAGACATGCATACATAGAATCAAGACTTTAAAAGTAATATTCTTCAGTAGTAGTAAGTTTGTTCTCAGTATCCCATTATTCACACAGAAGGGCTACAACCCATCATTTGCATGTTAATTTTATATTCTGCTACCTTACTGAATAATTTTAATATTAGAGTTAACTTTATTGATTATCTGGGACTTTCAGGCAAACTATCAGATCATCTGGAAACAAAAACTAGTTTTATTTTACCTTTATACTTCTAATGTGTCTAATTGTTTTCTATTTCCAATTGCCCTGCCAATACTTTCAAAAGAGTGTTATACTGGCCAAAATAGTGGGCTTTCATGCCTGGTTCTTGACCTTAGCAAGAATGCATTTAGCATTTCTCCATTAAGTCAAAGGCTAGTGTTTGGAGTTTGCAACTTAGCAAGATCCTGTCTCAAAATAAAAAAAAAATAAAAAGGGCTGAGCATGTGGCTTAGTGATTAAGTGCCCCTGAAGGTCAATCCCTGGTGAGAGAGAAAAAAAGAGAGAGATAGGTATTGATTTCCTAGTGCATTAATATATTTCTTATGATAGTGAATTAATCAATTTTCTAAAATTGAACCATTCTTGTATTCTTGATATAAATTCTGTAGAGTCATGGTATATTATTTTCTTTATGTGGTATTTGAGTCTAAAATCTAATAATAATGTATTTAGGATGTTTGCATCAATATATTTCTTCTGGTAACTCATATATATATATATATATATATATATATATATATATACACATACATATGTATATATATGTATGTATGTGTGTGTGTGTGTGTGTGTGTATATATATATATATATATATATATATATATATATATATATAAAATGTTAGTTGTAGGTGAACACATACCTTTATTTTTATGTGGTGCCAAGGATCAAACCCAGTACTTCACACATGCTCATCGAGCACTCTACCACTGAGCCACAACCTCAGCCCCTTCTGGTTACTCTTTTAACAGGTTTAGGTATCAATATTATACTTACTTCATAGAGTTTAGGTATTTTCATTTTTTTTTATATTCTGAAACAATTTGTATGGTCATGTTGTGACTATCTGGACTCTTAAAGTTTTGTAAAATTCTACTGTGAAACCACTTGGACTTGGTTTTCTTTTTAAGTGTTTGGTTTTTTGTGTGTTTCTTGATAACTTTATTATATTCAAATTATTCTACTTAAACTTTCTATTTACTCTGAGATCAATTTTAATAACCATATTTTTCTAAGAAATGATCATCAGCTGGATTTTCAATTTTATTTGCAATTTTCAGTTTCCTGTGCTTTATTTCTTTTGCATTGCTGTTTTTCCTAGTCTTGTTTTTTTTTATATATTTGTACTTTCTTCATTTTCCTTAAATTAACCAATGATTTTTCCAATCCATTAGTCTGTTTAAAAAAATTGTTTTTTAATTTGCTTTTTTCTATTTATCTCAATTTCTGGTTGTATCTTTGTCATTTCCTTCCTTGTTTTCTCTTGGTTTATTTTTCTAGCTGTTTCAGAAATTTAACTCACTTATGTTCACTTTTTGTTGTTGTTGTTAATACTGACGTTAGGACTATGAATTTCCCTCTGATACTACTTTATATAGATACACATGGGTGTATTGGAAAACAACCATGGGTGTGGCCAAAGAATTATTTTGACTAGGTTCAGAAATAATTCCCAAATCAATGAACTGATATGACCTTGTAAGGGTTTTTTTTTTTTTTTTTTTGAGCCAATATATACACAAGGATTGTAAATTATATTGCTGAATGTATTATGGGAATAGATGTTTTAAATTCCTGGTGGAGGACACACTTTAGACAGGAGGCATGAGTTGTAGATGTGGTGATTCACAGAAAGGTACCTCCTATTTGGATAAGATGTTTAATTGCTGGGGGATGGGCAGGGAGAAATGGAGACAGGTTTTAAAATACAATACATAATTAGCCTTTTTCACTATTTTTTTTAAAACCTCCCATGTATACCTCTGAGAAACTGGGCTCCAAATATTTGCATGTGGCAAAAGGTGAAAAAGAAAAAGAAAGCAGGGGATTTTGGGGCTGAAAGACTAATCTAGTATTTCTTTTCCAGCAACTTTGTTTTCTGGGTTTGGAAGGTTAAAGACATTAGCAACAATGATCATGGATATGAGGTAACAAATGCCATTGTAGCCCTGGCATGGCTCACAGTTCAGGAGAGATATTCTAGAACTTTTCAGTGTATAGAACGAAGAAACTGCTGAGCCGCCGAAAGATAAATCTATTCAGGTGGTATGGAGTAGACACAGTGAGGATGAAAGAATGGTAAAGATTGCTTCAGGGACTCACCACACCGCTTATGTCACTGTGGAAAGAGAAGAGCAATCCCAGCTAACAGGGAAGAAACACCTCAGACCCCAGGAGGTCAGGAGAGAGAAGAATATTAACCTCTCTTGCATTAAGTGCCTCTGGAAGGGTCCACAGGGATAGGAAGAAGAGGGGAAGGTGTTTTTACGTTCTTGAACCTGTTCAATTCTGTTCAATCCTGAACCAAGTGACTGTTTTTAGGTCACTTTAAGAATAAGAACGTAAAAAAAATTGTGCCTAAACCTGGAACTAAAATATAAAAATTAACATTCTTAGCCCAAAAGCTGGTATATAATACAATTTTCTAGTAAGAAAACATTTTTGAATGTACATATACAAAATAGTGCAAGCTGTTAATTAACTTTATTTTATTTCATGTAACTGATAAAGTTAACAGACAAATATATCTTAAGGTAACAAAATGTTATAACTGATGTTTACCATCTACATTTTAAAGGATATTTTAGTATAGCCAAAGACTTCACAAGTGGATTTTACCCATTTTTGAAATGTAAAATACACAATTATAATATTCATACTACATATTTTACAATTTTAAAGTTTTGGCGAAAACATTTGAGTCTCTGCAAGTAAAAGCAAGAGTTCTTCTATATCTAATACAAATAAAATGTATTACTAATAAAGTGCCAACTGATTAGATAATGCAGTTTCAACTATTTTGTTTAGGGGTAGGAGGACAAAAGTACATAAATTGATTACAGAACTAGTCATTTTCATTATATTAGTATAGAACTAGCAATTTTCATTATGATTCATAATAAGCAAAAGAGTGCTCATAGTAGATATTAACCACAATAAATTTTTCTCAAGAAAGATCACAACTAACTTGACAAGCTGCTCAGACATTGCTGAATACAGTTTAGTGTCCAGGGTTTTTTAAAAAGTGCATTCTTAAACTAAGATAAAACTAATTCTACCAATAACAGGAAATAGTTTTAGGGACTTCAAATAAATCAGATAATCTCTTTTTTTTTATGGTAAAATAGGTTTCAAACTGTTGAAAAGAGAAGGATCTAGTGGTGAATGACAAGGTTTGGCAAAAGTATTTTCTCGCAGGTGAAAGCTTGGTTTGCATTGCTTTAAGATGCATCTTTCACATAAAGAAAAAAATGTTTATTAGATGTATACAGCACTTTTCAGGCACTTGACCTCACTTGGTAGTTAAGTTGGTGTTCAGATGTTTATTTAATAGAAAAAGATTAAATTATAAAGTGACTTTAAGCCATGTTCCCACAGAACATCTGTGTTCTGTAAACTAAATCCAAATGTTCCCTGCTAAAATCAAATAATGATGCCATATACCCAATTCAGAGGAAAAAATTTAATAGATCAAAGTTAATAGATTGAATTTTCTCAATTTTAGGATTTTTCACTATAAATTTTTCTTAAATCTTTGTTGCCTATTGTCTGAATGCTAGCAGGGAAAAAAATAAGCATGAAACCTATGAAATATGTCTAGATAATATTGGAGAATTTGAAACTATCAGAACTATAAGTACAACCTACTTGTTTATGGAAATATGCTTATATTTTTGCTCTTATACTGCTTAAGAGCCATATTTTCTCACAGGAAATGTATTCCTAGTCAATATTATAGAATTCAGTATGTAAACATTTTAAGGTACCCAAAAGAGCATTATGAATTTTCAGTCTATTATCCCTAAATATGTTTGAGAACCACTACATAAATGTTTGGCTCTAAAACCATCTTTGGGGTCCATGCCAAAGGAATGCTATCAAATATTTCTAAGATTAGGGCTCTAAGATAAGACCACCCAATTCTGTTCTAAAATGGAAAATATGGCAAGATTTCAGTAAAACTGCTACTAATATTCCATTTTTCTTAACTACCTAGCATGTAGTTTAAATATGTGGATATTAAGGATTTTTTATATGTATGTAGTACAGTGTTACAATTTGGGAATAGTTTGCAATATACTTTCAGGCAGTTAGCTTTAAATAATAAAACTTCAGCTCTAAGCACAAACAGCCCTGAGAATAATGCATTCAAATTACAGCTCAACTAGAAACAATCTAATTGAGAAACCTTAAAGTACAAAAACAAATTCTGGAAAAGTTGTAAATTAAAATTTAAAAGTTACCAACATTTGAGGCACTACCAGACTACAGTACTTTTAATAGTGGGAAAGACTTTGGAAAAAGAACAAACATACAAAGCTATGTGTGCACATGTACACATTCACATTGTGCTGTAATGAAAAATTGTGTCCCCAAGTTTTATAGCCTAAACATTTTATTGCAGCATCTCCTGTTAAAGATATCATGGTCTGGCTGCAGGAGTTTTGGTAATCAATATAAAGCATGGTACAGAAATTTGTACCATTAAGGGAAACTGAATCAAGAGCTTCATTAGCAACAATTTCTTCAAGTGACTGACAGCCCTTGGAGGGGAGCATGAAAGAATATCACAATTATGTTATGGTGCAAATGCTGAGTCAAAGCAGCAATGATTTGAATCTGTCAGAGAGTATACAACTTTGTAGCAAATAAGGTGTAACAAAGTCTTCACAGTAGAAATAAAACATGTTGTCTTAGAAAGAAACCTGTTAATACTGTCTATAAAGTGGTGAAATGTGTACAGACAAAAATGGTATATCATTGTTTAATCTATCAACATGACAATTTATATTCTGCACATGGTAACTTGTGATATTTAACATTGTGCTACAAAAAAGTACAACAAATAGTAGGAATCAACTTTTAACATTTCTCTGACGTCAAAAAAGAATGAAGTCACTTCTGTTCTATGTTAAAAAATATATGTTCCCTGCTTCCTTTTAATACAATTTATAAAGCTTTACTAAATGAAATATTTTGTTCTAGAGAAACATCTATTGACTTATGTGAAAATAAACAGTCCCATATCTTTAAAATCTATATAATTATGTTAGAGTATTTACACTTCATATAGTATTTAAAATGCAATACTTATGCATAAATAACTTTTGCCATTCAAGGTATGGAGATAGAGATGCATTATTATCATTTGTACATACTTATATCACAATTGAAAACATATTTATGTGAAATTTGACAAATTAGGAAAAGAACAAGGGCATGCTAATCCAGAACTAATACTAAATCAGAACTCTAGTATGGCTAAGTGGGACCAGATGAATGACCAGCAAGCAGCACAGATTAATAACTTTCTGGAATTCCTGTGGGTAATGTCAACCAGTAGCAAGTAAGATACACATTAGAGATTATAGAACTACAAAAACTAGAGCAATATGTAGTAGATACTTAAATAGCATACTGGAAAGAATTTAGCCTAATTCCTAATTGTGCTTTGGATGGGCAAAAGCTAATGTCATACTAAAATCAATTACTATAACACCTCAATATTTCTTGTGCTTTAGAATCCTCTTCCTTGCACTTCTCTTAAAAGTATCTTGCTTCTTGTCTAACTGGGTTTGCTGAGGCCAAGACAAGATTTTAAAGTGTGTACAAATTAAGCAACTAAAATTTGGAGATCTTATGTTCCTAACACTCTTTCTAGTCACTGATTAGATCAGTTACATCATCATATATATTTTTCTTTAGATGATAGGAACAAAGCCCTTCGAGGTCAAGGCATGATGGGAGAGATCTCAGAACTTGTCTTAGAGAATCAAGGCATTACTGAGATAAATGATTTCCACTCCAATATAATCATTACTATTGAGTTAAAGGTCTTCACAAACTCTATAATGATGTCTTATTTCGGAACAAGTAAATTTGGAATGAGTACATATACTCCTGTGTGTGTGATACACACACGTGTGTGTGTGTGTGTGTGTGTGTGTGACAGAATGATCTAAAAAAAATGGAAGTGCAGTTATGTCACTTGAAACACTTCTTTAAAAAATAATTTGGCTTATATAATTCTTTCCTAGTTCTATTTTACATCAGTACTGAATTAAGACAGAAAACAGAAAAAATACATATACTTAAAAGTTAAATAATAATTTTAAATAAAGTAACATTTCTTCCATGATTGACTTTCATTTCACTTTAGAAAAAATATGCATACATTTAACAAATCAATATAAAGTTAAGAATTCCAACTCAATTTAAGAATTCCCAGTTTTAGTCTAAGTAATAGTTTAAGGTCAAAAAAATACTTTAAAATGGTTGAAAAGGAGCAATTACTGATAAATGCCAACACTTATTCAACATGGTTGCAAAAAAAGCACTGCATAGTGTCCTGTAAAGCAGGTCAGTCCTTTCAGTGCCAGGGGGTTAAGGGGAACAAAAGTTAAAAGCAAAAATATAACTAAAAAGCTACTTTCTATTTTTTATGCTGATTACAAAGGTCTCAAGTCAAAACCTAGAGTTAACCAACCTCCTTTGCCACTGTCCTTTTTTTCTTCTTTACAGTCTAACATGCTCATTTTCATCCAACAGCTCAATGTCCCTCTGTCAATGACAAGCAAGTACTAAAACCACCATGTAAGGTGTAAGTCTACCAACAATGTGGCAAAGAATGGTATGATCGAGGTAATGTATATCATTCCACACAACCACCAAGGTAACTGACGCTTTTTAATAACATGATTTTTGTTTAAAGATGTATTTGCCATACACAGGCTAAAACTGACAATTTTAAATCATAATTTATGTATTCTATGACATTAGTTTGAAATTAATGCAAAGCAATTCAACTTAAACGTGGTATTTCAATACCACCAAATGCTACATTATCTTTTAAAACCCTGGTTTAACTTATCATTTTATTAAAATTAAGGAATGATTTGCTCAGACAAATCACATTTGCTGAAGCTTTATGTTTCTTGGACTCACATACTGAAAACCACAGGAATGTTATAGGAAAGACACAAAATTAAAAAAAAAAAAAGAATTATATATCTTGATTTTTTTTTTTTTTGGTTAAGTTACCAACTACCAGCAAAATGAACCAGCACAATTTCAAAACAGTTAAAAAAAACAAAAATGAGGTTGCTTATGAAGGCCATAGCTTTGGTGACAACTTAGAACCAAACTTTAGATCTGCAGTTGATCCAGACCTAAACTGTTTGCTCATGCCTTATGTCCCCATTTATTTGCAGGGCTTTATGGCTACAGCATATTCTTCACTCATTGCACACATGACAGACACCTAGAAGGAAAAAAAATGCAGGCAAAAGTTACCCAGAAGGCAATACATATACAAGATATATTTAATTTACCATATACTGTGTATTGGCAGATATTTTGTGTATATGGACTTTGGAAAGGGGTAACAACCCCCCTCCCCAATCATCTACTTTCTTTATAGCTTCCTGAAGTAGAATTTCTCAGACTGGGGTTTTGCAAGACACTCCCAAGGAATAGGGAAAAAAAGAACTATAAATATTTCAACACTTCATAATTTAGGCCAAAGTTTTTATAAAATTGTTTAAAAAACACAATCTTCTCCTAGGTCTTTACCTGCACATCTTCACCTGCATTGTACTTTCCTTCTATTTCTTTGCCTAGTTCACCTTCTGGCAGTTTAAGATCCTCACGAACTTCACCAGTTTCTGTCAGCAGGGAAAGGTAACCATCCTGAATGCATATCAGCTATTAGAAGAAATTATAAAATTTATACTAATTAGATTATATCCACCCCTTTGTAATGTTACACAGTTAAACTGCAATCCACATTAATTTATATAAATATATGTAATACATTAATATATTGTTGGTGTTTAAAACTGCTAAAGCACCAAAGTATAAAATACAGACTAAAATACAGTAAATTCATTCCTTCCTGTACTCTTCCTGCCCAATCTCTGTATTATTCAGCAGTTTAGACTGCTTTTACAGTGTATTCTGAAGCATTTACATTTAAGTATACAACACAAATATGGTTGCTTTTCAAAAAAAAAAAAATGGGATCAGTATTTTTCAGCAAGCTGTTTTTCAGGCCTTAGATTTCTATTAGAAAATATAGACTTACCTTAATCTATCTAACCATTACACAAGTGCATGGATATGCTTGTTACTGAATTAACTGTTTTTCCATTACTGGGCAATCAAATTATTTTCAATTTTGCACTACTACAAACAAAATTCTATTATAATTTGACTACAACCAAAGTTAACAATTTTTTTATCTCTAGTTCACTACTAATAACAGATTAAAAACAAACACTAGCTTATTGACATTAATGAAGCAAATCCAGTTATTAATCTAATATTAAAAAAACACAGTTTTGCTATAATTGAATTTCTTTTATTACTGAAATGAGGAGACAGCCAGTCCCTACTCACTTATTCTAAAAGCATATTCACCATCAGTGTGCCTAGAATTCTAACGACTTCATAAAAGACCAATCATCCAGAAGACTAGCTGCTAACACATACCAAAGGAGTCAAAGATGTGGTCCTTGATTCCCTTTAACCACTGTGATATAACCCAGGCATACCACATGGACCAAGTTTCTAAGCTCTCCTCCATGTACACCATTTACCAAATCTGCAGTGACATTCCACAGAAACTCCACTTATCATGGGAGAGGTTGAGTTTGCAAATATATCTAAATTCTCAAAATCAAAAAAGCCATCCTACAGAGCAACAATAAAACATTTTCTTTTGAGACAGGGTCTCACAGACTTGTCCAGGCTGGCCTCAAACTCTTGATCCCCCTGCTCAGTCTCCCAGTAACTGGGATTATAGAAATGCATCACTGCACCCAGCTAACACTTCTAATTAACTTCTTAGTTACTCAAACATTTGTGAGGTAGTTGGAAAGGAGTGAAGAACAAAGAGGTTGAGGTAAGAAGGATAATGTTTAAACAATTAACCACATGCTTACAAGGCAGATCTTTCATTTCTGCTCTTTCAGCAATTTGCTAAAGTGGAACTCGAACTACTTCAAAGTTAAAGGTTGCTATTGCAACTAGTGACTGACACAGAGGAACCAAATAATACTAGTATTTTGGTAATTATAAACTGGTATTTTTTAAGAGGAATTCGTAAAATAAACTGTGGGGTAAAATATAGAAAGCACTTCAAATGTAAAAGTGCAAAATATCTAGTAAAACAATGTATAAACATTAAACATTTATTAAAATAAATTGCGATATGAAATAAAATTGCAAGTTTTCAAAAACAAAACTAAGCTGCAGAAAAACAAAATAATGAAAATAAATTATTTGATCATTTAAATTATTAAGAATCTTAAAAAAATTATATATAGAAAAGTTGCAAAAAGAATTCAATAAAATCCCATTTCTTTACCCTAGATTCGCCTATGGTTAACATTTATCCACATGTGCACTTTCTCTTTGTATATGTAAAACATAAAATATCATACAGTCTTATTTTTACTTAATCACTTAAGAATAATTTTCACAGATCCTGACTTTTCAGTACTAAATACATAAAGTTTATTTTTCAAAATCAGGAAATTTAATATTGATAACCTATTATCTTATATATAATCCATATTCAAATTTGCCAATTGTCCTGAAAAAATTTGAATTTGCAGAGAATTATCACCTTCAGAGTAGTCTTCTTTAAAAATGCAGGAAGAGGAAGTAAAGAAAAAGCTAAACTGAATCTGATCACATCTCTTCATCTTACTACCAAAGCTTCAGGAAATACTAAGGACAGAGGAACACATTAAACAAGAAAATGCAATTAGCAAAACCCAGACTGTGACAAAGTCTGCAGAACAAATGACCCAGTCTCTTCAACAAAAAATTGGAGAAAGAGAGAATTCAAGTACATGTATGAGAGAGAAGCTATAGATTAAAATAGCATTAACAGATATATAAGCCAATCTCATTTTATGGACCTAATTTAGGTCCTGACTCAGATAAACTATAAAACAAAACAATAACCACCACTGATGGGATATATTTGATACTACTAAGTAATTAATAAGTTTTAGGTGTGATATGTTTTGTTTTTTGCTTTATCATTTGTAGATAAAATGAAAATGTCTGGAATTAGCTTCAAAATAATGAAAAGGCAGAAATTACAAGAATAAAAAATAGATGTAGGTGTTATGGTTTAAATGTGAGGTGTCTCCCAAAAGCTGATGTGTGAGACAATTCAAGAAGTTTCACAGGAGAAATGTTTGGGTTGAAAGAGTCTAAACCCAATCAGTGATTTAATCCCCTGATAGGGACTGAGTGAGTGGTAACTGATGTGGTAGGGTGTGGCTGGAGGAGGTGGGAATTGGGACGCGGTTTGGGGTATATATTTTGTATCTGGAGAGTATAGACACTCTGCTTTCTGATCATGATGTGAGCTGCTTGCTGAACATCTGCCATGATGTTCAGTCTAACCTCAAACCCCAAGGAATGGAGCCAGCCTTCTATGGACTTAGACCTCTGAAACCTGAGCCTGCAAATAAACTTTTCCTCCTCTACAATTGTTCTGGTTGGGTCCTCTAGTCACAGCAGTGAAAAAGCTGACTAAAACAGTGGGGTATAGATGAAACAAGATTGTCAAGATGTATTGTAATTGTTGAAGCTGGATGATGCACTGTATACAGGATTTTGATACTTTGAAAATTTCCAAAATAAAAAGATGGAAAGATGCCATGGCATATAAGAATTCTATAAAGGGCATTATATGTTTAGCACCACTAAATGTCGGGAGGCACAATAAGTTAAAGAAGCAAAGGATGAACTAAAAGGAAGGGTGTAGGGAGAATTAGTCATTATAGATTCTGTCCATGACATAGCCAGGATAAATAAGAACACTGAAAGGGAGGAATTAAAGGGAAACTTTTTCTGCCTGCATTTGTATTATTGGTATGCAGCAGAAGGCTGGAGAAGATATAGAATCATTACAAGTGCTTTGTTAGCTTTAATCTGTGAATTCTGCTTTTCAATCTATTTTAAAACAGACTTGTTTAGGTAAGACCTATTTCTTTCAACTTCTTCCTTCTTTTTCCTAGCACTTTCAAGCTCCTCCTCACAGTTAGTGGTTCCTGGTAGAGAATGAATTCTTGAACATTACCATTATATCACCTAAGCAAATGACACCACCATCAACTGACCCAAGTCATGAAGCTGGATATGCATAGTAGCACTCATCACTAAGAGGAAGTAGCATATATGAGATCAACAAACAAGCTGTATAAGTTGCTCGGATGCAGAAAGCACCTTCTTATCTCACACTGATACTTCTTCCCTTTCATCTCATCCCAATAGCTTGATGGGAAATTCCCTATAATCAGTTGACCATGAAACAAAAACAATTTAATAATTTCTAGGTGTTAATGCATAGTATAATACACCATTTGGACGTGGCCCTGAGCAGTGGTAAGGAGAACAGAGAACTAGAGGTTGGATTTATACTGATTATGGGCCAGAGTTAAGAGCTGGGCTGCAAGGTCAAAGACACTGAAAGAACAAGATAGGAAAACTGCTGATAATAAGGACCTTTCCATAAAAATTAAAGACCAGATCCCATGAATGCTCACTAAAGGGCACCTGCTATAAAATAGGTTGTAAATAATTAGGTAGAAAAGAGGGTTCTGTGAATGATATTCAGCTTCTTTTTGGTACCTTGTTCCAGTACTTGTTCAATGGGCTCAATGACACAGGAGTTCTCCCACTAACTCTGATCTGACAATAGCCCCTACTGAGAACCTCACAGAAGAGACCAGCACAGGATCCCTGACACAATTTCCCAAAGGGAACAGCTATCTATCTGATAACACTGTATCCCTTCTTTCATGGTAGAGGCAGTGATTTGACTTACCGCAATAGACTCTTATGGGTTTGCCTTTCCTACATGTAGTGCTCCTGCTAAAATCCCATCTGGATTTACCACATGCTTCATTCTTGTCATAATATTTCACATGACATAAATTCCAACTAAAAAAAAATCTCATTTTACAGGCAAAATGAGACAATGGGAAGATACCCAAAGAAATCACTGGTTCATGAACTCCATCATTCCAAAACTATGTGCTTTGACCTATTGAAGATTCATGTACATCACCAGCTGGGTAATACTTTGTGGGTCTAGGGCTGTTTTGTAGTAGGTTACAACATATATGGAGTTATTTTTCCCAAAAGTAGAATACACAAGTCTAAAAACCAAAGAGGGTAGTACTTCTCACTATTACCCTTAATGATACTGTAGCAAATTATTTGCTTCTTGTCTTTTCAATACTGGATTCTACTGGCTTTGAGGTGTTCTATTCCCAAAGAAAGACTGGCTTCCATGAGGGAACACAATGATCCACAGAGCATGTTAAAATTATAAAAAGATTTTAAGTTCAGGGAAATTCATAGCATTATTATCGTCATTAGTGTTTTAAGTTGCAACAAAAAAAATTCAACTCACATATTTCAACATTCAAAAGATAAATCATTTATTATTTGGACTTAATAGTCATCATTTTGGCAATTTACCAATAATCCAAAAGTCTACAATATATACTTTATGTGTCCTGTACTTGTTTTCTTTCTGGAAAATAATCTTTGAATGACATAAAACTTCTGTGAATATACATAAAGCATTTAATTTGGGTGGGATGCATAGCATCACAGAACTTTCTAAAAACATTCAAGAGCCAGGCATGGTGGCGCACACCTGTAATCCCAGCAGCTCAGGAGGCTGAGGTACGAGGATTGCGAGTTCATAGCCAGCCTCAGCAATAGTGAAGCACTAAGCAACTCAGTGAGACCCTGTCTCCAAATAAAATACAAAATAGGGCTGGGAATGTGGCTCAGCTCTTGAGTTCAATCCCAGTACCCACCTCCCCCCAAAAAACCCAGGGGAGTCATGAAGTCTGAAAGAGCATTTCTAGATTTATCAATTTAGAGATTTCCAAAGGCATCTGAATGTATTTGTATTTTACACCATCACTGAGCTCCAAATGGCCATAACTACTTTTGGGAGAAGTAATAGAAGTTAGCCATCTAATCCAAGCTGATTTTGGAATTGAGGAGATAATATTTCTTTCATTCTGAACTTACATTAAAAATACACAAAGTTAAAATTACAAATGTTTCTTTTCTTAAACATTTACTTTTTAAAAAAATGTATTTTTCAGTTATAGTTGGACACAATACCTTTATTTTATTGATTGATTGATTGATTGGTTTATAATGTGGTGCTGAGGATCAAACCCAAGGCCCCACAAGTGCCAGGAGAGCACTCTACCGCTGAGCCACAACTCCAGCCCCTGAATATTTATTTTTAATTATTATAATGATCAGGGCTGGGATTGTGGCTCAGTGGTAGAGCGCTCGCCTTGCCCGGGGAGGACCCAGGTTCGAACCTCAGCACCATATAAAAATAAAGGCACTGTGTTGTGTCCATCTACACCTAAAAAATAAATTTTTTTTAAAAATTCTTATAATGATCAGATATACATATTTCACTTTAGCTGGCTATCAAATTGACACTCAAAATACTGAATTCAGGAAATATAAAGGACTAAACATAGCCAAATGATAAAAAAAAAAAAAAGTAGGAATTTACTTAAGGCATGTGGATAGATAAGTGACTTTCTCTATAGCACAATAAATAAAACTGTAAGCACAGAACTTTTTTAAAAGAATAGAAATAAGTGTCCCATAATGTTGGCTGGATAATAAGATGTGGGCACTGAGTATTTACTATGCCATGCAATGTCCTATTAACTAATGAAGCCTTAAAATGATTCCATGAGAAGTTTATCATTCATACCCCATTTTATATGTAAAGAAATGGAGACAAGAGGTTAAGTAACTTGCCAGCCAAGGTCACACAGCCAAAAAGTGCCAAAGTAGGAATCTATACCCAAACTATCTAGCTTTTATCAACCTTTAATCCACTCTCCCACATAATTATATACTAATGGCTGGAATTAAGTTGGACTGAAACACTTGTCTTGGCTGCAAAATTAAGAAAGGATACCCCTAAAAAAATAAACCCTCAGTGATCAAATATTTTAGTACAGTACTTTTAAAAAATTAGAATGCAAAAGTGACATGATGAACAAAATTTTTTAGTTGCAGATGGATACAATATCTTTATTTCTTTTTATGTACTGCTGAGACTCAAACCCAGTGCCTCACAAGTGCGAGGCACGTGCTCAACCACTAAGCCACAGCCCCAAAATATCAAAATTTTAAGTGAAAAAGTTACTGATTTTTTCCCCCTTTGCCCTAGTAGACTTGTCTTTATTTAAACTCTTACACCCAAGGCCTCACTTCAGTTCTTCTGCTGAACCCCAGTCTGGGCCTCATTATGCATCAAAATAAAATCCAGATTAAAATTTTCCTCTATGTTAAATTGTGAACTCCAATCAATGACTGGCTAACTTGATCAAAGTAGTAATTATGTGAACTACTGATACTATCTTTCTGACACATGCAACAGGTATGAGCTGAATGAATATTATTGAATATAATGCATACTGAATATTCAAAGTATTCACACTTAGGGCAAACGAAAATTATATGATAAGCCTTATTTTTCTTATTCTGCTGTTACCCTCTCTCCACTGACACAATAAATACACACACTTGATGATTTTTTATTGAGCAATTATGTACCACATCTAAATTCAGTGTTCCAACAGTAATGACATTATTAAGTAGAGTTTTTATATAGGAAAGGGGAGCCAAACAGAACTGCTTCTTTGTACTCATCTACTCGTGGGGTACGTTTAATCATTTAATCCTCACATCATTCTTGTTTTGTAGACTGGGAGACTAATGTTCAGAGGGGTTGCATAACTTGTCCAAAATCCATATAATTAGAAAGAGGCCAAACTAGATCCAAACCCAGATCTATTTGACTCAAAATCCACCCCCCGCAAAAAAAAACAAACCTAACTTTCTGTTAACATTAAGACAATTCAAGTTTTTACAATGACTCCAAAGCAACCTAGAAAGTAAAGTAAAAATATATAACTGTTACTACACTAAAACTACATAAAACTATGTTTGCATATTGATGGAATAAAAGAAAATCATTGGGTAAATACCAGATGATAGCAATATTCTTTTAAAATTTATGTAATACAATGAAAGGTATAGAAAGGATTCAGTCTAAGTTGAATAATACAAGTGCCACTCTTGTATTTCTCACTATATAAAATTAACAGAAAAGAGTTTGATATGGTGAATTTCTGATATGCTTGATATAGAAATTGAATACTTCCAAGTATAGCATTACTTATGATTAATCTGAGCTTCCACATTCTATGATATTAATTATTTGGTTACCATCAATATCTTGAACAACAAAATGTTATTAGCAAACACAACCTATCTAAAAGTATAATTGTAATTAAAATCTATTAATTTAAGAAAAGGTCATAGCATCATCAATGTATATAAATAAACCAATTACACAGCTTTTATAATTTCTTTACCATATTCAGTGAGCATATACTTTTTATATTTATACTTTTCAACTTATTTCCTTACTTAAGAATACCAAACTCTGATTTACTATTATTAATTAAAAAAACTTGGTTGGTAGGAACATGAAATCCAATAGTTTCTTGGAAGTCTTAGCTCTGATTAGGGGGGAAAAAATAAAACACTCAGGAGGGAGTTATCTAAATTTGGTATATTTTACAATAGAGAACACAGTAATTTTACCAAATACTGGACTTAGTCAAAATATGCAGTCACTCGGTCTGAGATGTGCTCAACTTTTTAAAAATACAGGAATGCTAGGAAAAGAACAAAACAAAAAACCTCACTATCTGTTTCTCCAATTCGTAAGACAGGTGGTGCCTAAAAATTGATTAAGAAAACCTTCAAAATTAGTGTTGGGTTTTGTCAGATTACTACTGCTAGAAGAAAATATTTGTACTTTTAAGAATCAACATTCTAAAGGAAATTAGTACTTACTTGATAATCATTTCTCTTAATATTTGGAACATCCATGTTATGAGTAGAAGGGCAAATATCTTCATATTTTTTGCCTGTGAAAATATCAATTCCAACAAGGTGTACCTAATAGAGGAGAACAGGAAACCTACTTAATCTCTGCCAAGTATATCACTCAGTACATACCCAAGAGCACACAATACCAATGCTGATTATGACAGATTCTTTCTCCTCCTTCCAAGGTCATCTAATTTTACTTTCTTAAAAAAATGTAGTGGCCATAGAATTGAAATGCAGTGAACAACCAAACAGAATCATAAAATGTCAAGACTCAATATAGTTTATAATCCCAGTAGTTCAATTATAAGAATACATAAGAAGACTGAAAATAGGTTTCTTAGAACTGTTAATAAAGGTTTTCTCAACTGTAAACTGAATAGATCTTCGAGGTCACTAGGATTCAGGAAAGTTTCAGTTCCCAGTTAATGAAACATTATAAGGGCCCAGGAAGAGAATACTATCTTTAAGCATTCAAAGCAATAGCTGATCACTCAATAACTGAGGAAAGGAAAAAAAAAATGTCTTTACTAAAAAATTTTAAGTATAGATACTCATTATCTGTAATGGAATGTAAATGATCAAAATCTCAATGCAGAAGCCAAAGAATGACTTGGAAGGGCACTTACCTTGGCATGACCGTGCTTTCCAGTTTTGGAAGTTGACATCTCCACTATTTTGCATGGTCGTCCTTTGAGCACCACAAAGCCGTTTTTGCGCAGGGCCGAGCACTGCATAGGATAAGTGCTGGAAGCCCCAGCATCTCCGGTAGTGAAATCAATTTCGTCGGCCATGGTGGGCTGGGGAAATGCTAGTTTTTCCGAGGAACCTACGCAAAAAAGTTGGAGTCCATTTTTTAACAACCGGCATGCAGGCAGGGAAATGTTTCATTTCGGGTAGGTTAGATGCCAAGCATTTTGGGTCCGTTATTTCAGCATTTATAAGATACCCACTCAAATCTAATGGGCACTTTCTGATTTCGGCCTCTACAAACTTTTCCAGCCATTGGTGAGGACGTGGGGAAGGCAGCTTCAGAAGAACTTAAGGGGGGTGAGACATACTGGTCTCCCGCGCTCACCCGCGCTGCGCTGGGGGAAGTAGGTCTCGTTCCCCAGTTACACCCACCCCCACCCCCCCAGCATAAACAGCCCAGCGACCGTCCTGCGCCGCGCTGCTTGGCCCTCTGCCGCCGCTCAGATCCCACATCGGGGACCGGGCCCAGGCCGCACGTCCCCACTAACGATGAGGGAATAAAAGGAGCTGGCCGGCAGCACCTGGACCTCGGGCAACCGGCGCAAACTCCGCCCTCTACCCGCAGCGCCGCCGCCCCGACCGCTCAAGCGCCCCCTATTCTGCTGGCATCCCTGGCCGGGCTCGGCCGGTCTCCGCAAGGGCCTGAGCTCCGGCGGGACGCGCGCTCTTCTCCCTTCTCCCATCCATCTTTCCCCCTTCCCGAGTAAGGACTCGTCTCTGGCCGCATACCCCAACCCTGCTTGCTCCAGTTCCAGTTCCACCAGATCTTCCTCAGGTCAGGTCTTCACCTTTCAGCTGGCACACAACGCCTATCGTCTGCGTACCCGCGCCGGCTCCCTGCAGCTGCGGCGGCGGCGGTGGCGGCCGCAGCAGTTCCAAGAGACGGGGCGGGGCCGCCACACTTTCCACACCCCGGCTTCCCCGCCCTTTCCCGCCCCCACCTCAGCCCCACTTCCGGGATAGGCCCCGGCGCGTCACAGGCACCGCCCCTCACGGCTACCATTGGCTACCAGGTTCCCGAGGCCCCTCCCAGTCACGTGAAGCGCGCCCTGGCAACCCCACGTGCTGCGGATTAGTGCACTTCCGGCGTGGAAAGCGCTTTGGGGAGTGTGGTTGCTGACTGTAACTCGCTGGCGAGGCTGGTTGATCCCTCCAACTTTAGATCGGGTTTCAGTCGACATTAACGGGAACCTAGCCAAGAGCCGGGTTGCCCCTGCTTTCAGGTGCGTGGCTTTTGTCACGTGATGGTCTTCAGAACTCGCGAGGCACGTGAATTCCCTGAGTGTCCCTCGTGGCTTTGGAGGGAACTTTGGGTTCGAGCTTCTGGTTGAGTTTTCTGGCCTCCTTCGAGTTGGAACCCATGCTTGCTCCTCCAAGAGGAACCCAAGTGCAGTAATTTATTATTGTGCTCCTTGTTGTGGGTTCCGCGTGGAACCCTAGCCATCCCTTGGTGAGATTTTGTTGGCCACTGCTACCGGGTACCCCGCCAGAGTCATCAGTCACTCAGCGGGTGGGAACTCAGAAAGCACCTGCGAGGTACAGCAGCATTGAAATGTCCTAATACCCGTGACTGTTAATGGAGTTGAGGAAGGCAGCGGCCTTCTTTGCTTTTGGCGTTAACATTCCCTATAATTTGGGTTTTATTCATATTACCGTTGAACCATTGGATTGTTTTCAAAATCAACATGGAGCCGGTAAACTTGAATAGGATTAAATAAAGTTTCTTAAGAGATATGCTCTTCTTTTCACAGTTCCATTTTACAACCCAACACCTCTCTTCCAACCTTACTTTCCACTTTACATCCCATTTCATGTGCTCCTGTGATTTGGTATTACTGTCTCATGAGTAATCCCATTTCTCCAATTTCTGTATGTCTCAAGGCTGCTCATATATTTTATATGTGATGTCTGATTTAACCATTACAATAAGCAAGTAACTACCCACAAACAACTCAGCTTCTTGCTAATATGAAAAGAACGAGATATGAACCAGAGTTTGTGAGTCCACTTTGCTTTATCTTACACCATCTAACTTTCCCTGTTGTAATTAGAATGACTAGTAATATTTAAAGAGTATTTATAGAGGCAAATGGTATATTAAAGTTTCGTTGGGGGCATATTAAAGTTTCATTTGAATTTTTGAACTTGACTCCTACTTTTTTTTTTCCCCCTTTTTGACATTGAAAAAAAGTTATTGAGTACCTGCTATGTGTCAAATGATGTTACAGAATCCCAGGGATGCCAAGATGAATTTGACTATTTTCTACCCTTAGTGTAGCCATGCAGACAGACTTGCATACAGGTAATTATGAGATAATGTGGCAGGTGGTATAATAGATATGTAAAGTGGAATGCTTGACTCCTACTTTTTAACCTCAGGTTTAAGTTACTGTTTCTATAAGGTAAATTTGACTTTTCTATAAGTTTTGAAAACAAAAGCAGTTATATAATCACCACTGTAATCAAAAACTTTATCCACGCTCTGCACCTAGTTCCTTGGCAATCATCAACAACTTATATTTATCTAGTTTTTGAATTACAGAAAAAGACAGAAAAAAGTAATTTGCCCCAGATCACACAGGTAGCAAATTAGAGAATCAAGATTGAAATCTGGGCAGTTTGGCTCTAGAATCAGTATTCTAACTGCCACTGTATATTGTATTCTCATAAAAATTGAATTTGGAATTTCATTGATTGAGCTTCATTCGTTCAACAAATTCAGTTTGTTCTCCTGAAGTCGCTGGAACAGAGAATTAACAAACATTGAACCATTGTTCATAGGGGAAATATAGTGTTAGGTTCCTGTTAGCCTCTGGTCATATTTTCATTAATTGGTCATGGAGAGATCTTGTTGTATGTATGTTTCTATTTAAAAATACTAAACATACATTGTTGATTCTTTAATATTTAATTCATAGCCATCATCCTTGTATTTCATTCCTGAAGGTAGCTTATCTACACACATTTTCTTTGTAAGGCCTTTCTATGCTTAGGGACATAAACAGGTCTTCAGTTTGATGCTTGGTGGCCATTTTAAGCAGTGAAATCACAACAAAAGGCATAAAAATGGGAAGGGGACAAGGCAGAAAATAGACTGAAAAGAAAAAGAACACTAGTTTACAATTCAATTGTTGAAACAAGAAAGTAGAGCACTGCTGTGTTTGACCTTTTTAGGAAACATGCATGACTCAAATCTCTGTGTTATGTTCACAAATGTCCCAGAAATCACAACTATTGATTTGGGGGAACTACAAGTACATTTATTGTGTATGTAAGTTCCCAAATATGGAGTCCAAAAATAATGAGAATTCAGTGCATATATTTTAGCACTCTTCTGAAATTACCATGTATATCAAGACAGCCCCTTGTTTGTAAAAGAGACAATATGCAACTTTAAAATATAAAACATAGTAGTAAAGAAATAATTATAGGAAAGTGAAGAAAGGAGATCCTCCTTATATAGTCTTAAGTCCAGTTGAAATAAACCACAAGGTACATATAATTTTGAATTTTCTTATAGATACGTTAAAATTATTTTAATGATAAAACTAATTTCAGTAATCTTTTATTTAATCCAGTAAATGCATGCAAAATGTTATTTTGCATTTAACCTATCTAAAAAATGTAAAAAGATATTTTACATTCTTTTTTTCATAGTAAGCCTTTTGAATATGGTGTGTATTTTATAATTTACAATACATCTCAATTCACACTAGCTGCATTTCAAGTACTCAATAGCTATATTTGGCTGATGGCTATCATATTGGACATCACAGATCTAGAAAGTTGAGACTTTTTTTGGGGGGGGGGGTGGGGGTGACAATCTGATTTGAGTTTTTATATGAATAGAAGGTTAGAAATGGGAAGGAGTTTGGAAAAGGCATTTTAGCCAAAGGGAATGGAAATACAAAGGCCTGTAGGTGATAGAATCATGATATCATCTTGTACTGCAAATAGATTAGGTTAATAAAATACACACTCCATTGTATAGTCTCTTTTGGTGTGGTACCATTAGAATGAACAACCTGAAAATGTCAGTAGAGATAGGCTAAGGGTTGATGTCTGGACAAGGGAATTCCAATTTCTGTAGCTTTTGCTTCCTTTTCACCCTTTGACAAGGTATCTTATTTCAACAGTCCTATTATCTATAATCTCTGTATTGTGTCAAGGAATTTCCACCATGTCAATTTCCTATAGAATGGAATAGCACTGGATTCAGAATAATATTAAGCAAACCAGCAAACTATCTTACATAGCTGCAAAAACAACATGTGTTAGATTTCTGTCACTATTAAAATACCTGAGATAATCACCTCATAAAGGTTCATTTTGATTCATGGTTTTGGAAGGACTAATCCATGATCAGTTGACTCCATTGCTTTTGGGCCTGTGATGAGGTATCACATCAGGACAAGAGTTTGTGGTGAATCAAAACCACTTACCTCATGGCCTGGAATCGAGAGAGAGGAGGAGGTCCAAGGTCTTACATTTCCCACGCCTGCAATGACCTAAAGATTTCCCCATAAGCCTCACCTCTTAAAGGTGCCACCATCTTCCAATATCATCATCCTGGGATTCAGGCTTTTACCATGGCTTTTGGGTAAACCTCCCAGATCCAAACTATAGCATAACACATTGAAATATATAATCACACCAGCAAACTGAGCCTAGTTTAATTTTATGATTTTCCTTGTATAATTGAGCACACTCCATTTTACAAATAATTTCCATATTTTATACTACAGTTTTTTTCCCTGTTTATCTGTTATTTTGTTTTCCACAGTTTCCATTACTACTCACCATCAACCATGGTTGAAAGTTTTAAATGGAAAATACCAGAAATAAATAAATTGTAAATTTTAAATTACATGCTGTTTTGAGTCGCTTTAAAAATCTCTCATTGTGCCACTCTGAATTGTCCAGGAAGGGAATCATTCCTGTGTTCAGCATATCCATGTTTTATGCTTTACCTATTAGTAGCCATCTTGGTTATCAGATCAACTGTTGCAGTATCACAGTTATTATGTTCAATGATGGTCCAAAAGTGCAAAAATAGTGATGGCTGGCAATTTAGATATGCCAAAGAGAAGCTATATAGTGCTCCCTTTAAGTGAAAAGTTGAAAGAGTTCTTTATAAGGTTAGAAAAATTGTATGTTGAGGTCACTAAGATCTATGGTAAGAATCAATCTTCTATTTGTGAAATTGTAAAGAAGGAAAAAGAAATTCATGCTAGTTTTGTGATACAATTCAAATTGCACAATTTACAGCCACAGTGCATGGTAAGTCAGGATTTTAAAAAAGGCATGAAATTATAGGGTTTGGTATTATCTGTATTTTCAGACATTCATTGGGGGTGTTAGAACATATCCCCTGTGAAAAAGGGTGAGTACTTGTATATAAATATCAAGAGATGCCTGTAATTATTTTTGTGGCCAAATTTTCACTTCCAGGTAGTCTAATTTTGTACTCAACCTTCAGTATCCAAATCAGGGTTGGATTTTTGCCTAAGTAACAATGAAGGGTGGGGCATAAGGGAATTATTGCCTTCCTCCTCAGCCAGTGACAATTTCCTCAGGCACAGCAAAAACAGCTACTTTAGATAAGAAAAGCTTTTCCACCTAGGAATATGCCTATGATAGTATTTTTAAAGGATTTGGAGGTTTGGAGTACTTTGATTTTCATCTTCTCAAATATCCTTTTTTTTTTTGGTAGGGTCTTTCCCTACCAGTCACTTAATTTTAAGAAATGAGACCTATGACTCTAGCAGTTAACAGACAAAATCTAAAGCATACTTCAAAGCAAATCTTATACTTTTAATCAGGATTTTTTTTTCATTTTAAGGTTGAATTTAGGCATTAAACTTATCTTGCTTTACGTTACCCAGTCTCATGTAAAATAACCA